AAACAAATTAAGGTGACAGTTGCTTCAYTGTATTTGCCTGGAAAATACATYATCCCCCTTTCTTTAATGGGGTTATTTTCTTATCTTTGTCCTGTGGTAGTCTGCGCTGCTTTCTGTACAATCCTTGGTGTTCATCTTTTTCTAACATATCCTCTATGGTCATGAATGTTGTTTTTTCTTGTCATGCTTCCTGCCTGCCTTCAACAACACCTCTACCACCTCTAGTCTTTTTGGTCGCTGTTTGATTAAACTCTTGAAAGTCTCGCAAGTTAATTATTTTTGTGACCAGCTCTACTTGCTGTGATGTCCCTAATTTGTTTAAAAAGAAACTAATCTGACATTTGGACTTTAATTAAAAGATAATTTGTCTACATGGATGCACTTTTGGAAGATTTTCCGTAGTACCGTGGACCGTTAGCTTCATTATGTGCAGCGAGTGTGGGCGTGTAAAGATGTAGACGGATAGAAAAGACAAAGGAAGACAGAAGTGTCAGAGTGTATTAGGCTTCAGTGGTGTTGAGGTTTGCTGCCCCCCCCCCCACCTGCTCTGCACATATTGATCTCAAATTTCACAACAAAGATTCACATGTAACAAATTTCATTCAGAGTCCCGAACGTGTTGTATTTCCCCACAAAAGAGGGTCTAATTAGCTTACATATTCAAACCAGATTTCTTTGTTGATTTGCACATATTGGGAGATGAAACTGGCACTGAAACGTGTCTTGTGTGCGCGCACGTGTGCGTCCCTTGGCTTCGCAGTCTAACAGTGTGTTTACGAGTTGCTACAGAGTGTTAAGTGGAGCTGTGAATGTGTGATTCACTGGAAAGGAGAKGAAGTAAAGAAATGGACATCTTTCTAGAGGGGCTTAAAAAAGGAGACTTTTTAAAGATGACTGTTTTTTGGGTTTTATGTAACTTTTCTTTTGAGTATGCAGAGGAAAAACCACAGCTCCACTCTTACGTTCCACTCATTTCTTTTGGTTGGTCTTTCCAGGAACCCATTTGTTTGCGTCCTCATGATGCCAACTGTAAGTCTTTATGTTTCTTTGCGGTGGATGTCTGAATCTGACAATTTTGCCATTTTCACTGTATTTCTGTATAATTTACACTACTGAAAACTAGTCTGCAGTGAGGTGATGTAGCAAAAAAAGAAGTTACACAATCAAAGCAGCAAGTGAGCTTATTCACCATTCTGTCTTCCTACCYTTGTCTGTGCTTCGCCTTGATTGTGTCCCTCTTCGTCCCTGCCGTCTCTGCCTGCGCACAGAGAGATGAATGAGTCTTTCTGGCTTCTAACTCACTCTGTTATTCTTTCTCCTCTTGGCCAGAGTTTATCGAGTTCATCGAATGTGCTGATAAATTTGATCATAAACCTCTGAGCTACATAATCTCTCTCTGGTGCGAAAGGTGACAGAGAAGTATTGGATTCCCTGTCTCCACTTTCAGGAGAGCATATTGTGTGAAATGTAAAGCGCATCAGAAATATGTAACACTTTACAGACTGCAGCAGCTCCTGTGTGGTGAACGAAAACAACTCAGAGAGCATCTGTATGGTTTCACTAAACTCTGCTATTTGGTTTGAAACAGAAAAACATCCATCTATCTATTGGGCTTACAGAATACAGGYCATTATATTGAAATAATTAAATCAGTGCCATGATGTTCTGGATACCTCAGTAGTGGTACATTGCCAAAAAAGAAAACCTGCGTCCATGTTGTTTTTCAGGTTTTCTTTTAATAACAAGGAAAAAATTTGCCCGTGACAGTAAATGTTTTTAAATATACGTACATCTAGAGCAGTGTTTCCCAAAGTTGGGGTCGGGACCCAAAGTGGGGTCCTGAAAAAGATTTTCTGAATTAATTACATTTTGTCTTAGTTGTTACAAAGGAGTGAGGTTAGTGTATTTAAAATGGATAAATGTAGTATAAAAATATTGTTACTATGCCCATGTTTAGTTGACCTGATACAAATGTTTATCATCCAAAAATAGTTGGGGGCACAGGTCTCTGCTRCTGTTATTTTGTGGGTCAAAAGCTGAAAAGTTTGGGAACCACTGCACTTTGGTTCCCAAAGTTGGGCTTGGGACCCAATTATGGGTCATGAAGCACCTTGGATAATCTCCAGAAATCAATTTAAAGGGTAATAAAATAATTGCTGATGTAATATTTTCCCTATAACTATTACAAAAACACAAAATAAGTATAAATAAGTATTTATATTTGTGTRCAAGCTGTTTAGATTGTCAAAAAGCCTGTGTTTTTAGGGTTATTAACGAAGTTCGTGTCCTCAGACCAGTAATATTTGGGGTCACAAGTTTTTGCCATGAATATTTTGTGGGTCAGAAGATAAAAAGTTTGGGAACCACTGATCTAGAGCATCCCTTTKTTGATTATGTGGTGGAGGGAAGGACTTGCAGTATGGTGGCTAACGGCTCTAAAAGTTGACAAAGTCCTATWTTCTCCAGCACAACAAAGGGTTGATCATCCAGAGCAATATATTTAGTCACCTTTCCCTTTAAAATGTTTTGTTTGAAGGGTTATTTGGGGCAACTCATGCAAGTGTTTGGATTTGAAATGTCTAAYTAAATTGGTGGTATTGAATGTATATGTAGCTTTATCTGTAACAAATATGGTTGGTTGGTTACCCGAGTGCAATCAGCAAGGTAGAAACCAAAAAAAATGTATTTAGTAAATGAAAACAAGACAAATAGAAATCCGWGCCAAAAATCCCAGCACTGATTCAGAGCGTTACATATAAGAATCTGCAAGAAAAAAACAAAAACAAGAAGGTTTTATCTGCTGGGAGGAGTGATTGCTCAATGAGATCATCTGACAGGAACAGATTAGCAACAGGTGTAATGAATGAGTGATCAGAGGAGCTGAGGAAAGTTTAGTCATGGGAACACAAACAGGTGACAGGAAAAATAACAGAAAACAGGAAAAATATACTGAAAACCAGTGATGGGCACAGTTCCACTAAAGCACTAATAGGGGAACTACTTTACAGATTAGTGATTTAGGGCTTTTGCTGAATTTAAAATTTATTAGTGGATAAGCACTTGCTAAATTTATAGGCTAAATATGGAAGCACTAACTGAGGTCTATAAATGTAATTGATCAACATTAATGTTAACAGCTGATGGTGAAAACTGTCACACAGTTTGTTCATATGTGTGTCACTTATCCACCAGGTGATAATATATGAACCCAAATACAGCTGTGGAATATCAGTGATAAGTCTGAAGAGAGCAACATGTCAATATGTGACTCATTGTTTGTTGGAAACTGCTCATGGGTTGACTGGGTTATTTTGGCGCTTTAGAGTTAGCTTTTGCTAAAACTTTCAGTGTGTTAGTGCTTTAGAATTAGGGGATCTAAATATGTGAGTTAGTGTTTTAGGGCTAGTGGAACTAATTATTAGATTAGTGCTGCCCACCACTGCTGAAAACATTAGTGAAAAAAAGGAACTCCAACTCCACAAACTGGGACATTATCTGCACAAGACATCCAAATTGCACGTTTTGAAAGTACTGCAGTGCTTTCAGTTTGTGTTTTAAAATACTTCCATTTGGACATGTTGGCATCACATCAGCTGTCGTACGTCGGCCATATTYGGCCTCGGCTGGGGGAAATCTGTAGGCAGCAGGTCAATAATAAAGACTGGGAGCTGAGTGTGGTTAGCTATGACATCAATGAAAACATGTCTGGATTGGGTCTCCATTTTGATACTTGATACSAGCTAAGGACATCCGTAATAAATTCTCATGTCAAAATGGCTTTTCATTTCATTTGAGACAAAAAGTTCCACCTGTTTACCATTGATGTCAACTGAACAATACGTTGGTATTCCCATTTTGAAGGTTTTTCTCTGGGTATTGTTAATACCTTTTTCATTTCCTTATTTCCTGAACATGATTTTCTTAAAAACACTTTTGTCAAAACATTATTAATATTCGTGAGATCAAAGTTGATTTATCAAGCAAATGATGGAGCAAGACACCTGATCTTGCACATTTCTAAAAACAGGGGGAAAAGCATGCTGAGTCATTCTATTCTTTTTGCTTGCTTGTTTTAAGGCCTTTACATAACTTTGAGAAGTTCAAATTTTAAAATTGAATTTATTTGGAGGTAATAGTTTTAAATTAATGGAAATATATTAAGGCCAATACACTGGTTTTAGCCATGAGAATAACAATGCCTTAAGCATTTTTTTAAAAACAAAAAGCTGATTAAGAGAAAAGGTCCGACCTCTGCTGCAGATGTGATGGCCACATTTTAATAGGGTGATGCTGAGAATGACCAGCAGCAGCATGTAGCGCTGCGATGTGGTCAGTCACAATGAAATCACTCTCAACTGCTCAGAACTGCGAGAAGAGGAGACCGTTGGCCTACTTTGGGTCTGATATAATTATGTAATGCTTGAGTACCTGCAGCACCAGCAGCATGACAACTTCTGACTGTGAATGTGAACCATAGAGCGAGCAGACAGGATCTGAACCTCTTCTCAATCCCYTTTYCCCCTCCTCCTCCTCCTCCTCCATGCCTTTCAACTTCACTTCATCCTGAGGTTCTGCTCATCTGGTGGCTTTTTTAGGATTTGACTGACAAAGCTGTCACTCTTGTGTTGCTTCCTTTAGTTCTTTTTTTATGCCTCCCTCAAACATTTTCTCATTTTCTGTTGCTCATTTTCACCATTTCAGGTTTCTTCTTCCACCCATCCCGCTCATCWTCTTCTCTCCTCATCTACTAGTGTCACCAACCAAATGGAGGGTGACAGTATACAGCTGTGGTTTTGTCCTCCAGATAGTATCTTAGACACCCCCCACCCCCACACACATATACACACACACATATTCAGCACTAACCTGAGATTTTCTTCTTATGTAATGGCTTTAATATGGAGTTCCTCTGTGTGGTGTGCATACATTATTAAGTCATTACACAGAAGACGATATGACAAGACATTAAACTTGTTTTTTTTTTTGGTTGTTGTTTCCAGAAAGCAAAGCTCCATGCTGCCTTGCAGGAGAAAAATTGTCTGAACCTCAAGCTGGTTGACCACCACCTGAAGGCATCCAAGTATGATCAGGTGAGRTGTTCATTKTAYRAATGCTGAGTCAGCATTTACACCATTGGTGTCTTTTTTTTAATTTTCCTGTTTGATTTTGCAATCCAAGTAYTTTTTTAAGGTTTGCAAAAAAGAACCTTGTTATACTTTATGCTAAATTGCACAGTCATATTTTAAAATATTCAGCTCACTTAAGACAGTGATTCTCAACCTACTTAGTTACTTTTCACTATTTTAGCATTTAATTCTGTTTTAGCTTCTTTTAGCTGAGTGTTTTCTCTTTTTAGCTTCTAGCTAGTTTCCCCCTTGTTTTTACTRCTGCTCTGTTCTTTAATAGCAAAGTCTTCCAGTACTCAGCATTCACAGTTTTCCCCACAAAAATGCATTTTTCTCTTGTTTAATGTGCAAATCAGGCATTTCACCACACGCACACACATACATGCACATACACACATAACCAATGGTGATCAATGGTGGACCAGATGATTTTCAGTGAGAGAAATCTATTTTATTTCCAGTCTCAGTGATTTAGAAGCAACGTATCACATGTTTAATGTTTTAGAAATGGTTCAGTGACACGTTGGGACCTATTTCATCTCCACAGATCAGTGCAGCTGCTGCAGAGTTCTCATCAACTGTTTACACTTTTCCTGTTCAATATTTTATTTTAAACACAATTTATTAATGTTTCATTTTCTCTGATGTACACAAGTTATTATTTTTATACTTAATGTTTTTTTTGCCTTTTTGTGTGTGTCATGTACATTACGTCACTAAAATAACTCATGGATACAATGGCAATGATTAAAGAAACTTTCAGAAAGTAGTCATAGGATGAACAAATGATAATTTTTAGATTTAATTCWATTCAAGATGGTTGCCACAGCTAATTGACATTGCTTAACACAAAATGCCTGTAACTCAGTCAGTTTTGTTTATATTGATCTAAAATCATTGGTCTAAAATTGGGTGTTGCAGTAGATGAGAACCATTAAAACACATACTCTGAGTGTGACAAGAGATTTTCAAAATTTGACCAAAACAGTTGCAATTCTGTAATTTATCACCACAAGATGATCTTAACCTGGAACTCTGTCCTTAAAGGTGGGGGGTAATGTGCATTCCTTCAATGACTGCTAGGCCTTTTGTCTTCAATGTGTCCTAGTCCTAGTCGGCTCTTCGTCAGATTTCACACGTGCCTGAATAATCACAGATCCAGGAAAGAGAGACTGACCAACAGTCAATTAGTTGCCCTGGCTTTAATAGTAATTTTCACAGAGATGGTGTGTGTGTGTGTGTGTGTGTGTGTGTGGGGGGGGGTCCAGACTGATTTGACATGTATCCAGGAGTTCTGCTCTGAGCTCTTGCTCCAAAAACGATGCCATCTGTGCGCTGACGAGGTGGGCACAGAGATGAAAAAGAAAAGGGGGGGCGGGGGTCCAGGCCTGCCAGATTCACAGTCTGAATGAGGGCTGCTGGCTTGTAAGGCCAATTGTTGGAAAGGCCTGGGTGGAATGTGCTGAACTGTGCAAAGATGATGAATAATGAAAGAGGCAAAAGACAAAGAAAGACACAGAGTGTGTGAGAGGACGGGGGGAAAATAAGACTGCGGCAATATAACTACACAAAGTTATCACAGAACAGAAACTGCACTGCACCTTTGTAGGGTCTTTGAACTAATCAGACAGAAACKTCTGGAATACCACATTATTAACTACAGTAGCTCTATTGTTCTTTAAATTGCACCAGAAGTATTTCATCTCACAGCTGTAAATTTACATAAATTAATTATCCTCATGCTATAAAATGCAGACAGTAATATAATTGCTTGTGTCTGTTTGTGTGAGCTAATTTTTCTGTCTGTTAGAAAAATATCTCAAAAACYRGTGGACAGATTTAAAGAAAACTCTTTGAATTGAAACTGTAGCTGCTTAAATTTCGGACTCAACCCAATTCAAGATGTTAGCTACATCTAACTGACTTTAGCTAACATGTGACCAAAACACATCACTGGAACTTTCTTGCAAAAGAGATCAGTGATCTCGGATTTACYTGGTTAAAKAAAAGTTAATAACAAAAATGACACAATCACAATCAATTTTACAGATATTGATCTAAGATTTGGTGTCGTAATAGCTTATAGTTATGTTTAGTACACATTTTTATTCTCATCACATTGTGTCAAAGATCTTTGTTTAACCCTCTAAAGCAGAGGAGCCCAAAGTGGGGCCCACGGGCCAAATTTGGCCCGCCAAGCCATTTGATTTGGCCCACCAACAGTTGCCAAAGTTACAAGGTTGTAACCTGTCATCCTATGTAGAAACACAGTATTTCCATTGGTCAAATGACTATATAAAAGGGTCGTAGTGAAGGTAGTTTTGATTCATGGTGCTGACTTTATCTTTGATTTATTAGGATTAAACATAAAACATGAAATGACAACAAGAAATATTTAGATCAGATTTAACCCCACATGTAGATTTGCACACTTTATAAGGCCACAAAAACTCATATTTTATCAATTTATGAAATGTCCCATGAGCCTTTGCTACTTGAGYGTATGGCAGACTTTCTYCDAGTGCACAGAATAAAACAAAAGAGGGCCATTGCATAGCTTAATCTTTAAAAATAAAGGACTTTACTTTAAAAAGTATTTGTATTTCATATATTATATTACTGCATTTGGCCCGCAGCCCCCGATAGATTTTCATTTTGGCCCTCTCAAGGAAAATGTTTGGGCACCCCTGCTCTAACGTCTGGGGTCTAAGTGGCCGTTACGGCTAATTTTGAATTKACACTTWTATTTTCATCTTAAAAACTATTTACCTTGCCTTGTTTGGTATCATTATTTTCAGCACAACCAAAATATTGACTATGCTTCGTTCTCCCATCTACAAAACACCCTCTCAAGTCACGCTCTCCACAAGCGTACAGACAAACCTTTTTTTATTGGCTACTTTSGAAATGTGGTGAATTTCAGGAAATCAGAAAAATGGGTGTCATGTTGCATTCAAGCACTTCCTGGTCACAAAACGTTCAYTGAACGCACAGCAAATGCATAAAAAAATCCTCATAAAATWATGCTGTAAATGRTTTATCATAAATCTGGTTTTATTTAGGAAGTTAAAGAAAAATAAAAACGAYATAAAAACACTATTTTTATAGAGTTTGAAGTCTGTRCTGTCCAACCCAGTTGAAATGAGCACTCAGCATGCTGCCATTTTTGACGCTTTAGCCCAGGTGTCATGTCGATAACCGCTCTGGAGCGAGCTTGGACCTTAGAGTGTTAAAACTTWAACACGGACAAGTAGGATTTTTGTTTTAGATCACCACCTTGAATTTGAGATTAATTTTTAGAAAGTGTCTAGAACAATTACAAATGATCTTGTTCATCCAGACTACCCGGTTATATTTGTATTCTAGTTTTTTTTCACTTTGTTACTCTTTAGGATTAAACAGCTCAATAAGTTTTAAAACCAGTGATGTCAGTGTACCAACAAGCTTAGACAATTTTAGATTAAAAACCAATGAAGCAACACAGCTGTAAATAGAGTATTTATTTTTGTTACAAAGCTTTAATAGTTACACACATTTTTTTATTTTTTTACATTTATAACATTGACTTTTAAATGTGTTAATGGCCCTGCTCCAGAGCAGGACCGCAGCTCTAACAAGARAGGAAGTTTATGATGACTGTAAACCACTGAAACACAAAACATTGTTCTGATAATCTTTCTTTTTCTTTTTAAGATATGGAACGGTTTGCCAAAAACAATAAAAAAAAGATATTAGAGTTTCTATATATTTTTTGCGCATAACTAGATGTTATAATATTTCACATGCTGGATATTTAGATTTAATAAAGCTTCAATCGTCACTTTTTCCATGTTTTTGTTGGTTGATTTATTTTATTGATAATAGTTATATTTATAAGAAATGTATGGAAACCTATTTCNATGTTATGTTACCTGGTTCCACTTAACTGAGTTGAGTAAATTCAAAGCAATATACCAGTTTTTTAGCCAAAGAACATGAGTATGTTGCTTTGAATTTACTTAACTCAGTTAAGTGGAACCACGTAACATAACATGGTTAAGTAAATCCAACATTTCATTTTTAGAGTGTAGTGGTTGATACGAGCTTCCACGTATATGTTCTTGACCAAACTTCTAGGATTTAAAGTACAACTTTGACCAAAAAAATAATGTTAATGTTTAAAATAAAAATAAAAAATTACAGCTTTCATAAAGAAAAAAATCATTTACGATGAGAACCTGAATCAAGTGCTGGAAACTGGTTCAGTACTCAGCCTTGAATGTTTTTTTTTTGCACACATATAAATATTATCACAGTGCTGTGGTCCATCCTGTCCGCGAGGACAAAATGACCCCTGTCACGAGACAATCTGAAGTTGGTCAAATCGCATATATGATGTCATAACGCTGTAACAGTTCTACATTTCTGAATTAAAAATGTTGTTTGTACTGTTGGAGGGAAGCACAGGTTAAATAGAGACTTGTTGGTTCTCATATTAGTCAAAATAAATGATTACAAAGTTTAAAATACAAGACTGTATCTAAAGCTCAGTTAATCAACCCCAAAATAGAGTTTCCACCTGTGGCGTCTTTATGAATGCCACAAACTAAATGATCAAATTCTCTTTGCAGCAGCCTCRTTTTGTGCACTTTTGGCTTGTGAGCTTATCGTTTTTATGCACTCGCCTATTTTGCTAATTAATGAGAAGAAGGGTGTTTGGCTGCCGAGGCTCGATCTGGCGAGAGCAACTTTAGAAGAACCAGCTCAGAGCTGATATCAAAATGAGAGGCGGCGCGTTAATGTCAGCAGCTCGGTCTCATCAAGGATAAATGGAAATGTGCTGATTAATTTCTCTTCAGATTGGGAAGTCAAAGTCAGCCCTCCAGCCGACAAAGAAAGAGAAGCTGCCAAAGCAACCCTCACAAAAACAACATGCTTGTTTTTTTTAAAAAAAGCTTTTCGTATTTTGTCTCCCTTGTTTTTTCTATTGTAAACAACCCACCTGACATCCTCCCTCTCCTCAAATGATTTCCTACCCTTTGTCCAATCCAATGTCCTGACTCAGTTTGTGCCTTGTGTCCCTGCAGGTACGATGTGACTACGAGCAGCTGAGACAAACCTTTGCTGTAGTGAGCCGGGAGCGAGACGTGGCCCAGCAGCAGAGGAAGCACCTCCAGCTCAAAGTAGATGCTCTGGAACAGCGTCTGAAGGTGACATTTCCCATCAAACTCCTAATACAAACTAAAGTACGGTTTTAAATGTCATTTTTTGTTTTATTGTGGTGGTTTGAATATTTGTTGATTCTTGAGTCTTCTRTTGTGTGATGTAGAGATGATGTTTAAAAAAATGATTTAGCGCATAACTGTTTTTCATTCTTTCAACTAATAGTAGTTCTTTATTAAAAATAATTGCAGGTTTTTAAAATTATTTTTAAAACAAACCCATCCCCAAAACATTCTTTTCCTATAAAACTTTACCTATATTTCCCCTCAAAATAAGGTGAAGCATGGTTTGTTTTGTCAAGAGGCTCCTTTTCATTATGTTTTTATCTGCCAATAGTAATCAGACTGAGTCTGACTGCACAGCGAGGGGCACTGTCATTACAAATCCTCTCCTCGCTGCATCTCTTATTGATTGTCTGTTTGTCAGCGTATTTCAGAGATGAATGTACTCGTATGAGAGAAGCTGACCTGCTGTCTGATACAGCAATGAAAGCTTTGTCACTTTTTCATCGAGAATTGATTACAGAGACAAAGAGACTTTTTAGAGAAAATTACATGGAGGAACATGGGTGGAGAGAATAGATATCAAGAAAAACAACAGCAACAAAAAGGCCAAACTAAACTAAATAATTGCACTATTTTTAAAACTTTTTGTCATTCATCAAGTAGCTTCACTAATTTGTGGTACAAGGTTTTCTAATAAGTTTTTGATTAATCAAATATGTTTTAATGCCTTTTTTTAAGAAACTGAATAGAACACAAAAAAATGCAGTAGGAATGCTGCATGCCTTGCTGAAATTTGCTAAAGAAGCTAAAACTGAGCTTTTTGAGCTAAAAAGAGCAAAATACTTGCTGAAAGGTAAAAGGACCAAAACATTAGCTGAAACACTAAAAGTCAAAAGCAGCAAAAATGGTTGTTAAAAAGGCAAAAGGCTTGCTAAAGGCTAATGTAGCAGAATAGCTACAAACTAAAAGTACTATAAAAACACAACAGTAGACAAAGTTTCCTAAATAATATTTGAGAGAGAGCAATGTTTTTGAAGGAATTTAAGCAGTTTTTGTGGAAAATTATAGAAAATATAAAGTTAAGTTTGAGAAGTGTAAAATTTACAAAAAAGTCATTGTACACTATTCCCAGTTGAGCTGAATATTTTGAAGTAGAAATGGCTGAAATAGCACAAAGTATGCAGAAGCATTTAGACTGAAAAAAAAGCATTGAGAATAAAAAAATCAGGAGAACAATAGTGCAAACACTGAATCAGCATTTTCACAACAAGTCTATTTTTTATCACAGTTAAAAATTCACTGAGGTTACTAAAAAAGGGGTTTGCAGATTAGTTTTACGTGGCCTGTTCTATGAACAGTTGCTGGAAATGAAGATGAGATATGGAATCTGACTGTTCAGTAGGGACTCTCAGGTCTTTTCCTGCTTGTACATCACTGTGTTTGACTTGTACTTAAAAATTTTAGGTGTTAGCAAGGCTCAAAAAAAAAAAAAAGAAAAAAAAAAGAGTTTTCCCTAAGGCTGTATGACAGTCCTGTGCAGCTTAGAGCTTCTCTGATTATACGAGTGGCTGCCTGCTCAGGACACCTCGAAGTCTCTCTGGGAGGAAAAGAAGCTTTTCTTTTTCGAGAGAAAAAAAGGACAYATAGGAGGGGAAAAATCCAAACATAAGAGGTTTTCTAAGCTGTTCATCCTAAACTCAGAAATATTGCACAGTCTTAACTAAGTCTTTGAAAGATATTGCAGCTGGTTATAGAAGAAGAAAAAACTAAATATATGTGACTTGGCTAATTTGGCAAAGGGTAGATTTGGGTGTCGATGCACAACAGCTTAGTCTGAGTCAGGTCTGAAAATATACAGTGAGGTGTAAGACAGACGAACATTACAATAATGCAAATAATTAAAGGTCTAATATTCCTTGAAGGTATGCTTAATGCCAAAAGATCATGTGATATTTCGGCAACACACAGACACAAACACAGACATTTCCTCTCTGCCTCTTTCTTGCAATGTTGGGAAAGTATCAAGACAACTGACATTTTGTGTGGTAGTGCGATGGAGGATGAGCAGAAATATTAATACTTGAAAGCAGTTGGACAGAGGGAATCCAGCTGCTTTCATCAATGTAGAATTGTATGAAGCATAAAGGCTTTTGAGTGTGACGATGTTCTGATAACCCTTTGTTTCAGTAGGCCTGGTTTAATCTGAGTCTGAGCTGATATGCAGCTAAAAACTGTGGAGTTTTTGAAAATCAAAACGATGTACGCCAGTATTCTTTTCGGATGCATTTAAAATACTCKAAGTTTGAGTTGAGCTTCTTGAAAAACAACCTGCCTACATCAAAATAAAATACTGTGGGTAGAATTATATAATAACTGCACTTTATTTAGCCTTACTTAGTCATTAATAAATAGTTAGTTAACATCAAAAACATCCTTTTATTAAGGATGATTCATAATGATAAGCTATAAATTAACACATTTAATAATACTTTATTTATAAAGACTAATTACTCCCAAATCCATCGCATTCATTATTTGTTCATGCTTAATAACTCATAGATTAACTATTCTATAAACTGTGTGTATATGTATGCAAATTTTCATATAAATGTACTTTCACACCATGTATTAGACATGTATTAATGGTTAGAGTATGGTTGAATTGACTATCTATTAGTCCTGCAGTGCATCAATAATTAAGTCTTTTTTTGAACTCTTCTAAAGTGATGACTATTTATGTTGTTTTTAAAGAGGACCTATAACGGTTTTTTGAACAAATTAGGATACATCTGTGGGCTACACAGATCTGGCTGTACATTTGCTGGCTCTCAGTGTGAGCCTTCTCCTTTTGTTGCTCTTTTTTTCCCAGCCAACCATGATTTTTGTTAAATAAATTTAATTTTAATTTTTCCTATGCATTGCTTCCCTTTATTTGTTACGGCCCTAGAGCCAGGCCGTAACAAATTGGGGGCTCGTCCGGGATCTACAACACAATTTCAAGACTAGAGGGGATAAAGCCTTTAGGGCTGTGGCCCCCAGGCTGTGGAATGCACTGCCTTGATTCTCTTGAAATTTTCAAAGAGCAGCTGAAGACACATTCGTTCAGATTGGCTTTTAATTAATTTTTTAATCAAAAAAAATATTTTAAATTTTTTCCAACATGTAATATTTTTATCGCATGTATGTTTTATTTTATCTATTGAGTGATTCTATCACTGACCTGTGAAAGGTGTTATATAAATAAAGTTTACTTACTTACTTACTTATTTACTTATTACACACAACATGCTCTTTGATTTAATACAGTCATTTTAAAATAATGAGATTTCACCTGGTCAGTTCTGCCTGTTCTGAGCGTCTTTCAGAATGAGCTGTTTATGCAAACAAGCTGCTGTTGGCAACGCCATCCCAACCCTTTGTTTACATTAGCTCCGCCCTCCCAACACAGCATTTTTGTTAGCACCTCAGATATRTGAAAATGACTAGTACAAGTTATGGAGGGGGGAAGTCACAGAGGTCAGCGTTGTAGAGGGGGAAAGGTGGCCGTGCATAAAGGTGCTCACCTTCTCTGTCATCCGTCATGGTCATGCGCTGTTGTTCAACATTACTATGTGCTAAATGACAAATCATGTTCCGAACAGCAACACTAAACACACAACACAACACTTACATCGCCATCATCTACAGATTTGTGAAGAACAGTATCCTTCAGCTGAATGTCCTTGGGCAAATCCTGCAGTGTACTGTTAGTAGTTTTCAAAGGAGTCCATCGTGGAATTATTTGGGCAAACTACAGCTTTCTTTGGCAATATCACAGGGACACTGCCATCAAAACAATAAATAAATAAATAAAATAAAAATTAAGCCACACATCTCTGTTCTCTGTGATTATTGTTAAAACAGCAGAACAAATGTAACAAATGTTCCTGTAAAGAAGTGGGCRGAGTCTCTTACACATCGCTAGTTTACCTGGATTGTGACGTAACAATCCGCAGGTTTTTGAAAAAGCTCATTTGCTGACACTAACAAAACATTTATATATTGTCAAAAMACAGCTGAGAGTTGGTTTTTTTGGCACTTGGACTGTTTCTGGAAGCAGTACAGACTAAAATTGAAGCATAAAAACTTGTAAAAAAGTGAATTTTGTATAATAGGTCCTCTTTAAGTATTTCTAGACAAAACCCTGAAGGACCACGAGTTCCTTTTACCTGTGATCAAATCAAATCGATCAGATCAATCGATCAGATCAAAATCATGGCCTCTCCAAATATTCTCTTAATACTTGTCTAACACATGGTGTGAMAGTATTTATATAAACACTTCCATACATAAACACATAGAATAGTTCATTCATCAGTAAATGCATGAATATTCAATGAGTTTGTTGGTTTTGGAAGTGATTAGCCTTTAWAGGTAAAGCATCAATAGTCTTAATTTATAGCTGAATGAATCATCCATAATTATTGRTGTTCTCAAGGTTAACTAACCACTTATTAATGATTAAGTAAGGCTAACTAAGGTATAGTTATTATAAAGTGTTRCCTTTTTGTGCCACATAGAAACAGCAACACTCTGATAAATCAAGCTATCTGCTGCTTCTGGTAAAACAAAACCTGTTGTTGACTCATTTTTTGGTGATACAGTCAGAAAATATGTCTAAATAGGATTCCTTCATCTGTGCCCCCACCACCCACCCCCTGCAGCATATGCACGAAGCTTTTGAGCTAAAACAGCAGCTGCAGACAGAGCATGAGCAAGCCTTGGTGGCCCTCCACGGCAAGCAGAGGGAGATCAATCAGCTGCAAAAGGTACAGCCGTAAGTAAAAACAGAACTAGACATTAGTCATTGATTTTGTGCACCGACTTCATTCCAAGGCTTCTTGTTCAGTCATCGATGTGCCGGCAGCCGTCTTCTGCTAATTCACTGTCACACAGTCATTTACCAGAAAACAGAAAGACATCAGATGGTTTTACAGGTTCCTCTGCAGTGGCTCTTTGAAAATGTGACCAAACATAACGGAATAATTTTGTTTGTTTTTTGTACCCACAACAGAAATCAATTTTA